CAATATTATTGAGCACTTGTGTTCTTCTTCCATACAGTTCCAATCATTGGTAGTTTATACCTACAATTTTTAACGTGTAAAATTTAAAACGATTTCTTTTCACACCCCCATACTAGATCAAGCCTTGCTGAAGTTCGCTAATTACTGGGGGGTAGGGGCGCAGATGAGATATTTCCCAATAGTGCTATAAATTTCTGAGTAATACATTCTTCCCAATGTTTATAATACGACTGTTCAAAATCATCAGTTTACAGTTGATTATTGAAGCCGTAATTGGCATAGCTTACATATAAGAATGCGGTCTAGCTATAAAGGCTCGTTTACACTTGCAATTTTTGCTGTGATTTCAGGTGCGATTTTGTTCTTCTGATGGATGTGAACGAGTGGATAAGTTATGAATGTTCAGATGAGGGTACATGTACTCCGAACATTCGTGACTCATCTACTCGTTCACATCCATCAGAAGGAGAAAATCGCACTACAAATCGCAGCAAAAATTGCAAATGTAAACAGGCCTTAAGGACTATTATATAATATGGCCATTGACCATCAATCAAACCTTGGGTCGTCAAGAGCATTGTCACAAAACTGTTCTTCTCGCTCCCTTTGAATTTGAATTGCTTCAATCAACGACTGCTCCATTTCTTCGTTCATGGGATATGGGGGAAGTGCGGGCTCATTCAGGGATAAATGAGGGTAGAATAAGCACTCTGGACTGGTTGAGCCAATGTCTTTCAGAATCTACAAATCAAATAGAACATTCATGAAATATAATTGAATATATTTTAAACAATACAAAACATAATTAAGCTACAAAGGGGATAGAATTAAGGGAGTTTATTATATGGCAAGCATCACTTCCGGTGAAACGGCGGACTGTGATTGGCTGAGAAGCACTTTCAGCGGTCCATTATTTCCCCGTGATGGACCGGCGGTCCATTACGTGAAAACAAACGCATGTATTTTAAAACAAAACAGCAAAACCAATTGAAAATTTGAAAATTAGAATTTAATTTGTTATTAATAAGATATCTGCGAATGGTTTTTAGTGGAAAAGAAGGAATACGTTGGTATTTTTTGTTTTCTTCCACCAAATGTGTACCACGCTACTAATATGCATTTCAAATCATGCATTTCTTGTTTGTTTCAAGCATAAATGCCTATATAAATGCCATATAATAAACTTTTTATTAACCTCGCTTGAATAAAACCTCGCCCTACGGGCTCGGTCTGTACAAAAAGGACCTCGGTCCGATATCTCTCTGTACAGACCTCGCGTTCGGTTAATAAGAAGTATATTTGTGGATGGATATTACGAGTGTAAATTTTAGACCTAACAGGAACAGTTGCGAAAAATTGTAGGAATCGAACTGAAAACACACAAAAAATATTATGATCACAGAACACATTGGTATCGAAGGTACTTAGTTCCGAAATACCACACACTCGAACAGACTTGGCCTCGTAGCTCAGTTGGCAGAGCATTGGACTAGTATCCCACATGTCGCGGGTTCGATTCCCACCGTGGTCACGCTAACTTTTCAGCCTGCCCAGTCTGCATATACACTCAGAGTAACATAAAAAATATTGTAAGTATTCCTCTCACATGTAACCGAGACGAAATTTCAATGAGACAACTGCATATTGCAGGAATCAAACCGCAGTCACAGAGATGAAATACACATGCACTATGACCTAACAAAATATATCCTTTTTTTCTGGCTACCCTAAAGTACCGCTGTTTTACCAATATACCTCATAAGCTCTATCTGTTGACATTACCTGGTCTAGTTTATCGGGCTGAAAACATGCTGTGGATTGTCGACGAAGTGTCCTGCTTTCACCACTGTCCAATATTTCATTCAATTCTTCCTGACTAAATAAACTTTTTAAAACACCTGGAATTTCAAAAACATATATGATCTATATAAATTAGTAGCCAAAAATGCTATAGAGAACTTTTTCTAGATCATGTTAAGGCTGTTTTACACTATATCAAAGTTTCGAAGGATTTGTAAGAAATGTTTGACGACGGAACTGATTCAGTGTTTAAGACAGAGTTAGTTCTCTCAAACACTTCTCACAAATCCTTCAAAACCTAGAATTTACCTGTACAAAATTCCTACTGTGGTCACAGGAATTTTGATAGTGCAAACCAGTCTTTACTTGGGGTGACTCCACACCAGGAAAGCTCAAAAATAGCTTGACCGTGATGGGAATCAAACCCACGGCTTTCTAACACAACAATGATTACAATATAGACTTAAAGCCCGAATCAAAAGAAGGTGAGAGTGCATGAGAAGTATGAGAGTTGGCAGTCACACGATCATCGTTAGCTGTTCTTAATGCTTTCCCAACACCATCATGCATTCTATTTAAGTTAAAACGTAGTTGGAACTCAATGGCCAGACTGGTCAGACCAGATTTTCTATCTCCGTATTAATGGACAGATCTGGTTCAGGCATTCTCGAAAATCTGACGAAAATGAATCTCCGTCAAAATTGATCCAAATTTTCGGATTAGATTTGCCCAAAGTTCAGATGTGTTGTATTCCATTCAACAATGTGACAGTTCTGACAGGTCTCGCCGTGTTAATGGAAAGCGCCTAAAATGCTTGCTAGAGCTTGAAATGTTTCCAGTAACGATTTATGACTTCCAACTCTCGTCTTCGCTTGACCGGTACTAAAGTGACCGTCTGTGTCTCTGTCCTTTCTCATCCAATTCACCCATATACATCTAATTTAAATGACATGCTACCTTTGTTCCATCCCAATTTTACGCTATTACTGTACAGAACAGAGGTGGCTAGGCATGTAAGCTGACCAAAAATTTGGATCGGTTGGCAACAGACATAAACAGTCAAGTAGGTATATATATATATGGTACGTACCTGGGAAAGACATTTCGGAAGTAAGTTTAGGTCCAAACAAAGTTGAAATGTCCAAGCAATGTTTTCCACACATATCTCGAACAACAAGTCGTACTGTGGTGTTTCCACTTAGTAAGTTCTCATCTTTGGGTGAATCATTCTGAAACGGGAAAAAATAAGGTTGTATAAAATTGATAATTTAGTACAACTACATGAACTCTACGACGCATTTGTACATATTGTATAATAAACAAAGTTTTCATACAATATAAAGTAAGAACAGTTTTTTGTTCCGCAATGATGTTCCACTTACATTAACGGGCAACTCAACCATGGAAATTAACGACGTATCATTCACTACAAAAAACTGGAAAAAATAATAACAGTGAAAATACTATGGAGGCACGGAGCACAATCATACAAATTGGGCTACAACCTTAAAACATTTTTTTCATATTTTTTTTTACAAACTATACCCATTTGAAGAGTTTCCTCTAGTGACACCATAAATTCAGATCATAAACTTTTTAGTGCAGATTGACTTTACATATAGTTCGTGCGATAGTCTCAACAGTTTTCACAAAGATTGTAGTTGACCCCACAAGTACAGTGATAACTCACTTGAACATTAGGAGAAGAGAAAACAGCGGCCGTTAGTTCCTGTTGTTCAGTGCAGTAAGGATTGTCTTGATTCTCATTCACGATGCTTGTCAATCGTGCTGCTCCCGCAGCAAGAGGAAAATGATTGAGATGATTGACAATATGTAAAATAACCTACAAAGAGGAACTCAAGGGTTAAACATTAACTCAACTGTTTAAAAGACATCGGCAACAAAATTTTAGTGCGTCAACATCTGTATCGTTTTCAAGATATTTAAATTTGTCACTTTGTTTGATATGTAAATAACGACGTCACTGGAAGGGAATTTAAGATTCACCCTAGACGTCCAGTAATGGTCATCCTTTATTATACTATATGTATCATTCTACAGTTCTATCAGTTCTAAACTCTTCACCCTAGACGTCCAGTAATGGTCATCCTTTATTATACTATATGTATCATTCTATAGTTCTATTAATTATTATTATTATTAAAAATCTTATTTTACAACGGTTATCCTTCAACACACCTACGTTATTGATTTCCAAGGAGCCGTTCACACTATACTAATTTATATTTACAAATGGAAGCAATACATAATAATTACATAATGTTAAAGTTATAAAGATATCACACGTTAACTAAACACCTATTACTAGTTATAAAAGATATAAAACCATGCAAAACTGACTGGCCTTAGTTACATTTACATTTAATGTTTAATACGATCAAGCGCAGCCTTAAATTGCCTAATTGTGGCATCACTTGTTTTTACACATCTCGGTAAATTGTTCCATGTTTTAGCACCATTATAGCTAATGCTTTTTTTCATAAAATTTGTTTTAGGCTTTTGTAGAGTAAACTCATTTCCGTTGCTACGTAAATTATAATTAATGTTATTTTTAATTTCAAACAGGTTCATCAAATTCTCTGGTAATTCATTTCTCTTCGCTTTGTACATGAATACTAAACTATTTTTTTCCCAATGATCAATTAAGGGTTTCCAATAAAATAAAACTCTTCACCCTAGACGTCCAGTAATGGTCATCCTTTATTATACTATATGTATCATTATATAGTTCTATCAGTTCTAAACTCTTCACCCTAGACGCCCAGTAATGGTCATCCTAGAAGTCCGGTAATGGTCGTTTCTGATAGTTCTATCAGTTCTAAACTGTTCACCCTACAAGTCCAGTAATGGTCATCCTTTATTCATGTCATGACTTGGAGCCTCGTTTTCGTGTTAATGCTTATTTCCACAATTATTGGTCAAAATAAAAAATTATTTTTCATGCATGTGTTGAAGAAGGATGTTCTGCTTCTCTGTGCTTAGCCCATGAGAAAAAAATTGAAATCCTTTCCATTTAAGATGGTCCTAAGTTGAAAACAGTGCAGTTGTGACGTAATTATCGAAAGGGCGTATTGCAGAAATCGGATTTTTGAATTCCGCCTGTGAAACCTTCATATCTTACCGCTTTTGCAGTTTTTCTGACTCGATCCATCGTTTGAAAAGGTCCTGTACCACCATTGGGCCCTAAAAACGATAACACAATGGAATTTCATTACAATATCAGACAACTTTCAATATAAGTGTCTTGAAAATACTATAACTATTTGTTTAACCAAAAACTCTATACTTTATCTAGGGATTCTGTCGGCGATTATTCTCCTCAATGCAAAAGACTTAGAATTGTTTACTTCTGAAAACGACTCAATACTTTTGTGTGCGAGTTCACTCATTTGCATCCGTCAGAAACTCAAAATCGCCGACACAATTGCAAGTGTGAGGCTAAAGTCCCGGTCAAACTAGGATGACAGTTGATGAGAGTTCATAGACGGATTTTCATATTTATTACTGGGGTGGTGCCAGAAATTTTAGGGGGGTGAGCCGTGAGCAGGTGACTGAAGCGACACAAAGTGTCACCAAACCCCAGTAAGGTCTATATTCTAGGGGTGGAGCACTAGAGCCGCGAGGAGAGTCTAGAGAGCAGAAAACAAAGTATCCCAGGAAAATTTTGAAAAACTCATGATTTCTAGCTTCGAAAAAAAGTTTTTTGAAGTTGTCAATTTGTCATATAAATGCGATTTGGCATGTCCGATTGTCTGTTAAGACTTGAGAGAGTTAAAGATTTAAAGTTAAATGAACCTATAAAAGTGTAAACCCAATAGGCCAATACACAATATGCTTTTACTTTTATAAAGTCATTGACATTGTGTTGTTTGAATCCGAGTACAATTTATGATGCAACTCCGACGTAAATAATATTTGGGGCGTAAAGATTAAATCTAGGCAAGTCTATTTCCTAAAAGAATTAAAAACTAAAAATAGTGTTCGTAAAAATTCCAAACGTTCCTTGCGTGCAAGGCACTGCAAACTCTATTCAGGGGAGATAATAGAGTTTCAAAACTTTACAATTGCTCCAATAAACCAGTGAATGCAAGCGAGGAGCGATTAGTTTCAGAGTGTTGCACTGTCTTTTTCTGTTCGAGTGTACTCCTACGTTTATTTTGTATCATCAACACTCTTCACGTTGGAGTGGACTATTTAATTATTTATTTATTATGCCGAATATTGGGAGGAGGTTGAAATTTTGGAGGGGTGGACATTT